CGATTTCAACAAATCGGAAACTTTGACCGCTTCACCTCCTCACTCGCCGCGGTCGACGGAGACCAAGGATGACACCGGCAAACTCAGAACGATGCAACGAACACGATGGTGCGGGAGGTGTCGTAAGCAGATGACCCGATCGTCGTGAATCGATGAAAAACCAACTAAAACCGTGTTATTACCGACGATACTTCAGACTGAAATTCACGAAGAACGGCGATGATTCACGACGAAAGGTTTGAGGGGTTTTGTTCCTCGATTGACAATGAACACGATGGTGGTTTCAGCTCGTCGTTTGGAGGTCGCACGACGAGTAGATCGGAGTTGGAAGTTGGGTTGTTGGAGAAGGGAAATCTTGAAAATATGAAACCTGCGTACGGGGAGGAGCTTATAATTCATCATATATAAGAAATGGTTAAATCATGGGTTTAGCCACTGAATTTCATGCACTTTATAAAACGGTCTGCCAACTTTAAAACTTTACAATTTAATCTCCAATGTTTCTTTCAAAATATCAATTAAATCCGCCACTTTATAATTTCTTAATTTTAGCCCCTAAATTGGGGTGTTACAGCCTCTGTTATGTGGGTTAGTTGTAGACAGGTAACGATTTGGAAGGTAGTGGAAGTGTCTAAGCCAGTTGATATTTCATCCATAAAGATAGCTTTATTTGGACCAACTATCATTTCCCCTGTCAAAATTCCAAAACTAAAATCTATTAGAATGACATGGTTTTGTAAGGCTAAGGGAGTAATACTTATATGCCTTTCATCAAGGTCCCTTGTTATTTGCAAGGGATTTATGGAACATTAATCGCAGTTCTCTTTAACTTTATAGCTATTAACTTTAATAGGAGCGTTACAGAACTGAAAACCTGTTATCAGCCTTCTCTTTTGACCACCTGAGATTCCTCTGTTCCTTGCATCTCCCACTATAGTATCGGCACAGATGTCCAATCCAAGAATCTGAAGGGAAATGAACAGTCGTGGAACTGTTAGAGAAGAATTTGGATTTCCTTTTATGCATTTATTTTCTTTATGAGAGAATCACCTTCATTATATAGTGTGTCTGGAGAGTTCCTTTTAATCCTTCAATAGATGTTGCCTGTTAATACAGATTATGAAGTCAGAGGAGGCTCCAAAGGCAATGATACCCAACCCCTGCTAGTTGCTGACATGATCACTATATCTAGCAAATTACCTTCATGTATGTGTCTATATCTGGTTCTGGGACAATGCCAGATTGTTTCTCCCTTCTACTGATCTCTTTTAACACATCTTTATTCATAGAGAACAATAAGATCAGTTTACTGTTATGAAGGTATGAACATTGTTACAAGATGCAAAGTAACATATACCTTTCCAAGAGGGAATTTCAGAAATGTGCAGGTCATATTGACTTATGTAAATGTATTCTGAGGCACAAACTCAGTGAACTTGTAACCGTTGTAGGATATTTCACCTGTGACCTGAAATAAAAGTATGCCTCAAGATTGATGGTTGTTCAATGCACAAAATTTTCATTATTTTAGAAATTATTATATACTACGTATTATTTAGTTGTAGTTTTTGAATCTGTCATTAAAATTATGTAATGTATTGCCAGTGTCCGCTTATGCAGATCATTTACATTGGTACTCCAAGAGGGAATTGATGGACAGAAAGAAAACCTTGAGTGATGGGTTAAGCTTCCCTGAAAGTGCCTGTAACAAAGTGGTCTCTCCACAGCCTTGAGGGCCAAGCAATAGAGTCATCTTGCATACAATGTAAGCTTATCAGTTACTTGTTTGGTATAACTATTGTTCTCCAAAAAAGTAGCCTAAACTCATAGATCATTCGCAGATGAAATGAATGTGAGAAGTAAAAATCCAAAGTGAACCTTGAGGGGCTTGATGATGCCACTGATATCTTTGAGAATTTGTATCTTGTATGATTGAGACTAGCATCGTCCAACTTTTGTCAAAGCCTGTTTAACATCTTAAATCTCTCCCATTAGTGCGTTAATACACACCATATGTATACATCCAAATCATAACCAGCGAGAGGGCTCTTTAGGAAGGTTAAAAATATACATATACACACTTGTGTGCTATTTGGGGACTAAAACTTACAGAGAATGCACTGCTGAAGCTGTTCCAAAGTGTAGTAATGGGTTTTCCCTGAACTACTTCACAATCTGCTTCCACAGACAGATTCTGGAATCTCGCTTCAATAGTTGGTAGATCCAACCCCACTCTAATCACAAATGTCACTGTCAGTTGCAAGTCATGATTCTACAAAATAAATTCTCTTTTGATTGACTTTATTATTATTATTATTCATAAGTCATGTTCGTGTTGATGCTGGTACACAGGGCACTAGATATAAAAAAAATTAACATGCATAAACATTGCATTGACCCATCATGCTTATGGTTTTGCTTCGGTCAGCGTTGATTAAATATAGGTTTTACTTTTTAAGTTTTGGTTAAATAAAAAAAGTAAGATTTTCATTTTCAAATGATGCAAAACTCCATTTTGTCTTTTTGCAGTTGTCGAACAAAGGATCGAAGTGCAAGGCATCCCCTAACTTTTCGTTGAAGGCAAGTTTTCATGCGTGAACGATAATAATTACTAGTGTAAACATTAAACTTTATATCATTTATATTAGTAGGCCATTAACTTAATAATATAAACGTCGCACCAAAATATCTAAAAATCAACAAATATTAGAGGTGTCTATTGAAAGAAAAACTTAATCATGAAACAAATTTAAAATCTTATTGTAATTTTATTCAAAATACTATAAATAATATTTATAAATAATATTTTATTTTTAAAAAATAAATTACAAATAATATTTATAAAATTATATTATAGATATTATAAAAATGTATCATTATATAAATCAAATTAATCTCGATTGTATTTTTCAAATATATAATATCATTATTGTCATCACATTGTTGTTGAATTAACTGGTATGAACGATGAAACGATTAAAACTAAGTAATATTATTAGGTGTCAAGAATAAGCGATGGATAACCTTGTATCAAGTAGGTTCATATGATAGATCAAATGAATTTAATTACATTTATTTTTCTCTGATCAAAATTTTCTACTTTTTACAAAGAATTTCCAGACTTAATGAGATCAGTTGACCCCAATATAATACAATTCAGTCCATCGATTAATCAAAGGGACTGGTGAAGACCATAATTTTTAAAAATTTTAAATTTCCGTATAATTTAAATACTTTTTATATTTCTTATTTTCCTATAATTTTATATAAGTAATTTTCCCAAAATTTTAGAAACTTAAATTTCATAATACGATATCTCGCGTCTATCCGTGTGCTGGTGTTTATTCTAATAACTAGGCGGAGATTATCGTCCTCGATTTTGGTAATGAGTTTCTCGATGAAAACGCGGCGTTCCAATGCTCCCAGCTCTGTAACATCGATCACTTTCCTCTTCCTGTCTGTTTTCATACCATCTTCTTCTTCTTCTTTGCTGCAAGTTTCATCATCTAAAAGGCTGTGATCAAACAATGAGGTCCTTAGACGCTCAAAAGTGGGCAACCTCTGAATTGCAGCCCACTGCAACTCCATCTCGTCCTCATTATTTTCTCTGAACGACGACGGCAAGGCGAGGTCCGATGTAGCACTCCTGAAGCTTGAAGACAACTGTCGAAAAGATGACCTGAGGCTTCTACCTGTCTCAGCCATATCTATTTCATGCTCCATGTTTTTCTTTGAGTTTGATGAGAAATAAGAAGCTCGCTTCTTCTTGCTGTCTATCTATACACACACACACATATATAAAGGCAAAATGTGTACGTTATTACGTTGGATACAACACACACTGTGGGGGCGACGCATTGTTTATTTCTGGGCCTGCTATGCATTAATATTTTGCTCCTAATTGTTTGGTCAAAATAATAGTTATAGGGGGATACAAAAAAAAGCTCGACTTTAGGGTTTCTTATGCAATTTGTCTTCTCGGCGGCCACTGATCAACCAGGAATATTTGTCTTTTCCTATATATTTGCCGTTTTTTACTTCTTGCTTTCATTTTAATTCGTTTCTGTCTGGCCATTAAAGTGAAACGTATTCGTCACTGTTGTCTGGGATTTTGTAGGACACGTCACGGACAAATTCAGAGGATAACGAAATAATTCAAGAATAAACTACAATTTTCATCACTCAATTTTCCTCTCACTCCTACTTTGTTCATTGGAGTTTACAATATTTCAATTTAACTTCTAAACTTTTGAATTGTTGTTGTTTTAATTACCCTTTCGTTAAATAGTTAACGGTGTTATGATATAACACATGAAAATAAAATGATATCGTTATGATGAACTTATAGAGTAACGACGTTGAATGCTGCATTTTAGTTTTGCATATAAATGTATATGTTATGAATTGTTATGTTTCATGCATAGGAGTACGTTAGAGAGTAGATCCTATATGGAACTTATACTTAAGAAATGGGATACACGTGAATGTTATGCATTAATGCATTATTAGAATTATTGCCATGCACTATAAGTCTTCTACTTGAACATACATTCATAATATAGTCAGCGTATAAGCTCATGGCTAAGCTGGTCCAAAATAATATGATATTTGTTGGATAATTCATATTTTACATGAAAGGTTCTAAGGTGCTAAGTAATGGTTACTTAGACCTTAATTTATGTTTGAAATAACTTACTTACCATGCTTGAATAATATTCCATGAGTGTTTGAAGTGCTTAGGAAGAAGTTTGCTCTAAACTAGCCAAACTAACTCATTAGATGTATAGGAAGTGCTTAGGGGCGTGGATTCTGATTCTTGTTGAATTGTATGGTGGGATCATGGTTCCGTATAGTTCTTTCATGTTTATGACATGTTTTAATATATCGCCACCTTTCTAGAAAATTGTTTGCTAGATTAACAGTTAATAATATGTAGAGAAGTGAAATTGTTTGTTAGGGCTACACAAACTGATTGTGGGGATATATTTACAATTAATTGGCTAGCATATTTGTACTTTACAGAAGTTTGCCTAAGAGGCTAGAAAGAAGCATGCTATCTCCTCTGATAGTTTAGTTTAGCTATACCATATGTAAAAACAGATGCAAATACAAGTGGAAAAGCAAGTAGTACGATGGCTATTATGGGCAAATCTTGATGTTTATACCCATACTGACTGTTCAAGAAAGCATTGAGTGATTTTTGCTCTCCGAATGCTACGATTTCTTCCGTTATATCTCCATATTGAGAAGTGAGAAAACCTTTCAGGGACCACGAAGTTGGACAGATCCAATAACCCCAAACCCACCATTTAGGAATTTTCTGAAATCAAGAAAGTAGCATATGTGTGTTACTTTAGTTATCGATGAAAATGAGAGTATGTATTGATCGTTGCTACAATGGAAATAAAGCATCGATGTTAGTCGGTAAAGTATTTAAGCTGAAGCATGCTCCCTTAATCATTAATCTAACCATTCTGATGTTTCCATTTTACATGTGCCTAACTGATTAATTGCAAGACAAGGAAGAATTGGCTTACCGGTCCCGGTATGAGGTACCCTGAGAATAAGCTGAACAATGTGTAACAGAGGCTTGCAAATATTGTAGCTACTTGGTAAGTTGGAGTCAAAGAAACCAACATCATGCCTAAATATTTGTAATAGAGCAATGTACAAAACATGGTGTAGAAGTACCAAAATACTTTGTAAGCCGATCCGTAGAAGTTTACGGCTGGATAAGTGATTGTCAAGAATAATACTGCTTCTAAAAAGATATAGGGAATCTCAATAATCACCTGCAAATATGAAGGAGCAAATTTATATTAAGATACGATGTCCTGGTACTTGTTAATGCTTAGAAGGTATTCTATAATTTTTTTTACCTGTGCCAATGAATATGCCCATGAGGAGTACATTCTGGAAAATCTTTCACGATAGACAACTATCCGTTGATTAGCTACAAATGGAAGAACTGATGAACAACCGCTTGTTCCAGTGAATATCATGAAAACATACATTGATCCCATTATGTTGAAATAGTCCTGCTCGTTATGTCTTCGAAAATGGGAACAGAATGTCAGCATGCAGATAGTAAGTACATAATCTAACATGGTGTTTAAATGATTGACAATAATAGTAGAAGGAGAAAAAAGAGATAGGAAGCAGCTTACAGGTTCTGTCCTTTATTCCAAAGTAAGGCTCCATATAACAAAGAAGATAAAATAATGAATGCCAAGCGTACTAAGTTGTATTTTGGACTTCTCCAATAGGACAAGTGTTGTTTCCAAAGGCATGCTTTAAGTTGCTCCCATATATTTTGCGGAAAGGGTGTCGAAAATTGTAGTTCCTCTGAACCCTGTGCTGGAAGGCTTTGGCTTTTGACTATTTCTTTGTTTCTCCTACAAAGAAGGAACATTATATCACTCGGTATGATAATTACAAGTTAGGCACATGAAACCTTATTTAATAGAAGGTTTTCAACTACCTTGTGGTGTAAGAAAACAAAGTTTTTAATCCATGACAACATAATAGTTTTTAAACACAATTAAGACAATGCACTTACTTGTAGAGATAAGATTCTCTGTAGATACAGGCAAAGTCTATTCCGAGACGAGCCTCCGTAGAAGGATTGGTAACTTCTAACATCCATGTTGCTGGGTTATAGTTTTCTTTAATTTTTGGTACTCCAGGTATATCCTGACAGAAGGGTGTAAAAAATATTTATGAGAATTGGACGAGTTATAAAAAGGGAGTTACCATAGAAAGGTCATTTGGGTGCTATTCCTTCATTTTAATGTCATTTTCACGTCAGATTACCTCAAAGTATTCGATAAGCCTACTCGAGTGCTGACCCAGTTCTCCACAATATATAACCTGTCCTCCTTTCTTCATCAAAATAAGCTGCAAGGATACGAACGTGTTATGCAAAAATGTGGATCATGATAGTAGTTATTTAGGCCTGAACTTTTCATAGGTTAGCTTAACAGCCTTTGTTTGCACCTCGGTGTTTAATGTTTGCTGCCTGATTAAGTCACATCTAATAACATATTATAGTACGTTTAATTCATAATAATATTAAAAATAAGAATTCAAAACAATTCTCTTGAAATTCTAATTTGTAAATTTTATGAGTCTGCCGGTTAATTACCTCATCAAATGCTTCAAAGATGTCTATACTTGGCTGGTGGATGGTGCATGCGATTGTCCGCTTTGTGTCAACAATATTCTTCACAACTCGCATGACAATTGCAGCTGCTCTGGCATCTAAACCCGACGTAGGCTCATCCATAAATATTATGGATGGATTAGAAACAAGTTCTACTGCAATGGTTAGCCGTTTACGCTGTTCTGGTGATATTCCACTTACACGAGGGATCCCAACTAAAGCATCTTTGATTTCATCCAACTCGATCATATGAAGAACCTCTGCTACAAATTCCTGTTAGACAGGTAAGGGAGTTGAACATTTTGAGTGATTTATTCATGATCTTGAAATAATCCTAGCATGTATACTACTGAGGGTGTACTTAAGATATATACAGTTTTTCCAGTTCCACACAAAAGTATAAGAGCACTGCTGCAACTGATCCTTTCTAGATTAAAGGTAATGCCGCAAAGACAGGTATGAGTTTCGGATCTTTGCCTATCAAGTGCAAGCTGTTTAATTAAACTAAGCATGTCTTACCAATCTTTTGTTCTTATCAATCTCGGTTGGTAGACGTAACCAAGCTGAGTACATCACTGATTCCTCCACTGTAATCATTGGAGAATGGATGTCAGTTTGTTCACAGTACGCTGATATTCTAGCATATGTTGCTTGAACTTTGGGGTACCCTCCAATTCTTATCTCTCCTTCAATGTAGCCCCCGGTTTTTCTTCCCGAAAGAACATCCATTAGTGTTGTTTTCCCAGCTCCACTAACACCCATTAAAGCTGTGAGAACTCCGGGCCTAAGTGCACCAGTAATATCTTTAAGTAGCTGCAGTCTATTATGTGGAAACCCTTGCTCCCTCAGTTTCTGGGAATACATACAAGGCATTAGAAAATATTTTATTTATATCTAAAAATGTAATCTTGAGGTCTAACATGATTACCTTTGGAATATCAACAAAGTATTGCACGTCCTCGAATGATATTGTTATGGGCTTAAAAGGTAAAACCATCCCTGTAATTAAACAAATCTGATTATAGTATTTACTTTATATGACAACCAGTAAATGCTCTATGATATAAAGATAGATCTATATGAACAAAAGAGCTTCTCACCCTTGGCTTTTGTTTGTTCTAGAGCTTTTAGAGAGTCAACAACACTTGGCAATCCTTCTTCCTCAGCTGCGTCACTCAAATCCTCTTTTGCTTTTAGATAAGAAAATCTTTCATGGGAAATAATAGCCCGAGAACTCCCTGGAGCTGCAACAGCAGATACAGAAAGATTTTATTCATTTAAATTTTCTTTCCTATTATTATTTTCTTGTATGGTGCATGATGAGGTACAACTTACGTTTTAAAAGGCTCAAAGCCAAGGTGAAACCGATGTTAAAAATCAGCCAGAATCCAATCAATGCTCCTACTGATATCCAATAGTAGTAGTCATTGAAGTTTAACCCACGTTCTTCCAGAACTTGCTGTCCTATGGTGGCATTTGAAGATGAAGCCTGCAAGTGAACAATGGCCAGCAAACAGGGGACTGTGAGTAGATATGCTTATCTGCATTTAACCAATAAAATATCAATTGTTTTCCTTTCACCTTTTGCCACCTCGGTGCTAGAAATTCATTAACGGCCACACCTATTTCAGAATATGCAAGAGGTGAAAGCCAAAAGCCCCATTTGACCCAAGCAGGTAGTAAAGCTGCAAGAAAGGTTTGGAACATTAATATCTTTACATCTTTTTAATCTCCTCGTATAAGTAACAAATGACCTTACGTTTTGGAATTATGAAGCCACTGAATAGAAATATCACCAGTAACGTAAGAAGACTAAAATTTGCTGCAAAAGGCGGATCTCTAATGACCGAAGCAATTAAACGAAATAATGAAATTGCCATTTGATGTACAAGGAAAAGGATGAAGAGCAGGCGGAAGAACCTGAAAATAATACTTGGCTTAGAAGATGATAACATTTGTTAGATATTTATATACTTTAACATCAAGTAATCTTTGTTAACATGATATACCTTTCTGGTTCCGGACTGTAACCAATCACGTAGTACGTAAGAGCTGTCCACAGAAAAGCATCTATAAATGAAAATGGAATCTTTAGGATAACAGCTGGAATGGAATATGCCCATGCTGGATAGAAGTAGAAATCTCTTTGCTTATAGAATACGGATAATCTGGAAACGGTTAATGCCAACTCAGCAATTCCGGTCGTCATAAGTCTTATGAGAGCATAAAACAGGGAACCCAGGTAATAGCTTGCATGGACAAGGTCAAGCTTCATCCGAGTACGAATAAAGATGGTCATCGTTATCAGTGCAATAAATATAAGCTGCATGTAGGAATCATCTAAGGCTGGTTAGTGTGTAAGTTGGGTAACCAGTGTTTGATATTATACATTTATGCTTATTATGATTGTTTTTACCTGTGATGATTTGAAAACATAAACAAATGAGTTTCTCTTCATGAGAAGCCATTCTCTTGCCATACATGCTTTGAGTAATTCCCATTTTCCCAATGAATAGATGTTGAATGACAAGGCATTTCTATGTCTCTCACATTTTTCGAAAGGTGTGTGGAGTTCTTCATTTAGCTTCTCTGCTACGTGAAACTTTTTGAATACAGCTATGAAGTTATTCACAGAAACAAAGCTATAAGGCTCGTCTTTACGATACCAGTACTGTTCTTGGTCCTTTTTGGAAAGCACCTAAAATTAATTTATTTTAAATCATTAGTTAAAGGAAAATGCCATGGACGTAGGTAGATTAAAGGACACATACTTCTTGGAGGAAATCAGCAATGCCTTTGCGTTCGGGGCACCTAAAACCGCAATTTTCAAAGAACTCTTGAACATAACTGCATGGTCCAAGGTATACAATCTTTCCTTCTGCCATTAGAATAATGTCATCAAAGAGATCAAAAGTCTCTGGTGCAGGTTGAAGAAGTGACACTAGAATTGTTGCCTCTGTTATGTGGGTTAGTTGCTGTAGACATGTAACTATTTGGAAGGTAGTGGAGCTATCTAGACCTGTTGATATTTCATCCATAAAAAGAGCTTTATTTGGACCAACTATCATTTCCCCTATCAAAATTCCACATGAAAAATTTATTAGAATGTCATGATTTTGCAAGGTTAGGGAGTCAATACTAATAACGTTAATAAGGAGGTTAGAGAACTGCACAACCTGTTGTCAGCCTTCTTTTTTGACCACCTGAGATTCCTCTGTTCATTGGATCTCCCACTATAGTATCGGCACAGATGTCCAGTCCAAGAATCTAAATGGAAATGAATGGTTGTGTAACTGTTAGAGAAGAAATTTGATTTCCTTCAGTACTTATCTTTTCTTCTGAGATAATCACCTTTAATATATAGTCTGTCTGAAGATTTCCTTTTAATCCTTCAATAGAAATTGCCTGTTAACAGAGATTATATGGTCAGAGGTGTGGTTCCAAAGGCAATGATATCCATTCCCCTGATAGCTGCTGACATGATCACTATTTCGAGCAAATTACCTTCATATATGTGTCTATATGTGGTTCTGGAATAATTCCATATTGTTTCTCCCTTCTACTGATTTCTTTTAGCATATCTTTATTCATAGACAACATTAAGATGATAAGTCTACTGTTAGGAAGGTATGTCCATTGTTACAAGATGCAAAGTAACACATACCCGCTCTGCTTCCAATGCCCTGGCAACGAGCCGAGAAGTCAAGTGTTTCTCTTACAGTCATTTCAGAAATGTGCAGGTCATATTGGCTTATGTAAGCTGATGTATTCTGAGGCACAAACTCAGTGAACTTGTAACCATTGTAGGAAATTTCCCCTGTAACCTGAAATAAAAGTGTGCATCCAGATTGGTTGTTGTTCAATTCACAAAATTTTCATTATTTTAGAACTTATCAGATACTACATATTATTTGGTCATAGTTTTTGAATCTATCATTAAAATTATGTATTGTACTGCCAGTATCAACATATGCAGATTATTTACATTGCTACTTCAAGAGGGATTTGATGGAGAAATAGAAAACCTTGAGAGAAGGGTTGAGCTTCCCTGAAAGTGCCTGTAACAAAGTGGTCTTTCCACAGCCTGGAGGGCCAAGCAAAAGAGTCATTCTGCATAAAAAGTAAGTTTATGACAGCTTATCAATGGCATAACTATTGTTCTCCAAAAAAAAAAAAGTACCCTAAACTCAGAGACCATGCACAGATGAAATGAATATGAGAAGTAAATATCCAAAGCGAACCTTGAGGGTTTGATGATGCCACTGATATCTTTGAGAATTTTTATTTTGTATGATTGAGATTTGCAGCTGCTAACTTTTGTTAAAGCCTGTTCAAGACCTTAAACCTTTCCCATTAGTGTGTTAATACACACACGTGTATACATCCAATCGTAGTGAACAAAGAGGAATATTTAGGAAGGTCAAAGCAATATATATACACACACACACACACACATGTATACCATTTAAGTATTATGAAAAGAAGATGATTCCAGTTATTTGTAATGATTTGGGGTTGAAAACTTACAGAGAATACACTGCTAATGGTATTCCAAAGCGTAGGAATGGGCTTTCCTTGAACTACTTCACAATTTGCTTCTACTGTTAAATTCTGGAATCTCACTTCAATAGTCGACAATTCCAACCCCACCCTAAGCACAAATGTCAATGTCAGACTCATTTGCAAGTCATTATTCTACAAAATAATCTCTTTTGATTCACAGCGTGTTATTGTTGATACACGAGCCGTTAGATGGTGAAAAATTTATACGCTGAAAGCATTGCATTTATCCATCATGCTTATGTTTGCTTCTGTCAGCATTGATTAAATATAAGTTTTAGCTTTAAAAAGTAAGATTTTCATTTTCAACTGATGCAAAACTCCTTCTGTCTTTTTGCAGTTATCGAACAAAGGATCAACGTGCAAGGCATCCCCTATAGCTGTTTTCGTTGAATGCAGGTTTTCATGCGTGAATAGTGATAATAACTGTTACAAAACAAAAAGAGAGACGGGAGGTTTCTTGCCTGTCGGTCCTTTCTTTAAGTTTCTTCAAGAGGCGGAGATTGTCGTCCTCGATTTCGGTAATGAGTTTCTCGATGAAAACGCGGCGTTCCAATGCTCCAAGATCCGTAACATCGATCGCCTTCCTCTTCCCGTCGTTTTTCATACCATCTTCTTCCTTGCTGGTATCGTCATCTAAAGGGCTGGGATCGAACAATGAGGTCCTTAGACGATCATAAGTGGGCAATCTCTGAATTGCAGCCCACTGCAACTCCGTCTCGTCCTCATTATTTTCTCTGAACGACGACGACAGGGAGAGGTCCGACGTAGCATTCCTGAAGCTTGAAGACAACTGTTGAAAGGATGCCCTGAGGTTTCTCTCTGTCTCAGCCAGCATTTCCATATCTTCATGCTCCATATTTCGTTTTGCATTAAAGAGAGGTTTTTCAAGGAGTTTGATGAGAAATAAGAAACTCGCTTCTTTTTGCTGTCCATCTATACATACATATATATGTATAAAGGCAAAATATTTACGTTACTACGTTGAATACAACACACAGCGTGGGGAATTTTATTACTATTTTTCTAAAATAATTAATATTTTGGTTTTTCTTGGATGAGTTTGGGTCAAACTGAAAGTAAATAGGGGGCTGCTCCACCTAGACAGTTGCTCCTAATTATTTGGTCAAAATAATACGGAAATAAAAATTAAGCTTAAAACTAAGCTTTAGTCTTACTTTTGCATTAATGAGAAACTTGTAATTATCTTTTCTCCTTTTCGTCTGCGAAATGCATTCGTCGTTGTCGTCTGGGATTTTGTGGGACAAATTCAACAGTACGTTAACTCTTTCTCTGGGGGGAAACGTCAATTCCATTTGCCTAAGTAATTTAAGAGCTTTAGTTTTAGGGTAAACTATACGTATGATCTTCTTATTTTCTGTCTATTCTACTTTGGTCATCAGCTTTGGAAAAATTATTTTAGTCACTTTTGTTTTCGGGTTATAACATTTTATTCACGTGATCGTTAATCTATATCATAGTACTAACGTGTCACGTTAATGAAAATGCTATTTTCTAATTTGACCATTAAATTTTTTAAAAATTATCTTTTAATCCTTTCTAAAAAAAATCTTCCAATATTTATCTCCTCTTCTTTGACTTTCTCTTTAATTATTATTTTCATCCCTGCTGTCGTCTACTAATGCTACCGCCGTTAGTCGCTGCACGTCTCTTATCCAAAACATAAAATATCATACACATAAGAAATCATCCTTGTAGTAATCCATAATTTTATTTGCCTAAAATAATTAAAGTGTGCTTAACCGCAAATCTTAGGTTAAATGCTATAATTTAATTATATGATTTTTTTCTTCTTTATAAATATTGTCTGATCTAATCAATGGTTACCAGAATTAGGAATTCTAGGAAGTTATAGTTTCGGGCCATTCTTACATTGATGATTATTTGTTTTGCAATAGGTAAATTAGAGGGATATGGATAAATTATAAATTGTCACACAATTTTCTTTTTGTTCTTACTTTAGTTATTAAAGTTTGAAATTTTTTAATTTTATGGACTCTCAATTTGCTCCTATATGATCACTCGAATGTTAAATCATACATGAAAGGATGACATGATTGCTACATGTGTTGATGTTAATTACTTTTTATTGACGTGGAATCCATGTGTCATCCACGTCATTTTTCTCTCTTTCTTTTGGATTTGATATTCTCTATGTTGATTTTGTTTTATTATTTTCACTTACAAATTTCTAACAATAACCCGTACAAATTCATAATAAGTACCAAAATTGTAACGTATTTGCATAAATAAACAAAAAAATAATTATTATGCATGTCCATTAAAATTATATACGAACATTACAAATTATAAAATTATAATAAATCTAAAATAGATTACAATTTATTTATATTGATATAAATAAATTGATAAAAAAAAATAAAAGTGTAATTTAATTATCAATATTTTTTTCTACAAAACTAAAACTTTCGACTTTTTATTTTGGAAGAGAAAAAACTCATAATTTTGATGTAAAAAAAAGATATTTAACATTCTTATGTTATCAATAAGTAATTTTAAATCAAAATAAGATAATGATCATGATTAGAAAAAGAGTATCTAACCAACAACCAGTTGATTTAGTAGGATGAGGTATTATGTCCCTTAAGTAAGGTTAAGGGTTTGAATCCCCTCTCCTCTGCAGTATTCAATCTGAATTAATCGATCAATAGATAAGACATCCATGATTAATTAAAAAAAAAAGAGCGTTTACTTTTGAATAGGAATCAACGCAAGGGAGTTTGGCCGCATCCCAAATCCTAAGTCCCTAACGATAATAATAAATGAACCGGCAGGAAACGGACCCGTGTGGGAGGGGGCTAGGTAGGGTCAAGGCTTACGCCATTGAAAAGAAGCAAATTGAGAATGTGAAATGGTGTTAGCCGTCGTCTAAAAGCACCCATGCATGCATGGGCAGAACTTTGAATTTATTAGGGAAACGGCTGGATAAGGACTTTGTGTACTTGAAACAATATTATTGACGTTTTGCTCCACAGGCGCATTATTGTTTACTTTTGTAAATTGAATTTTTTATTAATCTAGAATAAATATAAGAGAGTATATATTTTAAGATAATTTTTAATCATTTAACATTAAATGTTTATAATTTTTTTACTATTAAGATTGTTTAATTCGTACTTAAGTTAGAACTTAAGTAGGGTAAGTTTTGGGGGGACTCATCCTATTTAGCAATTAATTAAACAGAAACAAGTACGTATTTGTTGGGTAATAAAATGAGGATAAAAGATAACAATTAAACTTGTAATAGATGGTGAGATAAGCATGAGTATTATTTTAGATTTGTTTCATCGCATACTATATACAATAAGTATATTTAAAAGTAAATATTCGAAATTTTAATTTTGTTACTTAAATTTTTATAAATTTTTAAATTCATATTAAAATTATATTTTAATTTATTAATTGAAGATCACCGCGACTTATTATTTTTTAAATGGTGATACTTGAAAATAATGTCACGTATATGATGGAAGACAAGATAATAGATATTTTTATTTTTTATAAAAAAAATGTTTTATATTCATTTACTTTTTGATTAAAGTTAAAGTGATTAATAAAGTAGTATATGTTCTAAATAATTTTAACTATTTGACAATCAACACTTTATCATCATGTTGCACTTGCTAGTGCTTAAACTCGTGACCTTTAGAAACAATAACAATTTTTTTTAACAACTGAGGTAATTTGATTCGTGTTATATTTATTTAATTTATATTTTTAAATATATTATATAAAGCATAATGCGGAACATGTATAATAAAGATTAGGTGGATTTCAAAGTCTACATAGATATTGAGAGATGATTTTAATTTTATAGATTACGGGATGAGATGATTTTATATTTTGTACCTATAATAAATAGAGAAGTATAAATGAAAATAAAAGTTTTGGATAAAATACATAATTGTGGAACTTTTCGAGTATTGTTTTATTGAATTCATCAACTATTAAAAGTTACATAATGATCTATGACTATAGGATGTTGTTTTATTGAGTCTCTCGAATATTAAAAGTTACAAAAAGATCATCAACTACTCGTATGTTCCAAACTTGTCCTTTCCTGTTAAAAAAATTGACGATAGTCTAAGTTAAACGTTAACTTGGTGACTGAGATATGATAAAATATGATCCCATGATATTAAATGACTATGAAAATCAAATGTCTCTATGATTTTATCATATCTCAGTCAACAAGTTAACGTCAAACTCAGATAAATGTCAATTTTTAATAGAAACGGGCATGTTTGGAACGTATGAATAATCAGATGACCATTTTGTAATTTTTAAAAGTAGAAACAATATCCTAAACAACTATAAATTGTGTTTGAATTGACTCTTTCGTAGGATACGGATTTAATCATCTCACCTAATCTAAATAATAAACAAATGCATGCATAAGTTGATGGACTTTGGTTAATCCACGTATCAAAATTGCTTGTATTAAGCTTATTTACATTGCATATATTTGGACAGATCATGTGATATCGGATATTAACATTCCGGCCTCTAATTTAATAAACAAAATCTTTTTCAGATCTTTTCATTTTCGTCCATATCAATCAGCTTCTCATTCAAGATTCTTACTTTCCCTTTTTCTGGGAAGATACGAAGAAACTTTTTCGCCTTAAGTAAGAATGGTCCCCGGATTTTGTGTGATTCGATTCCGGCGTTAATTTCAAGCTAGAAAAATAAGACACCTTTGCTTCACACAGTCTGTCATCATAATAAACTAATCCTTCTCACTTCTCATTGGAATTTAATTGCACTTCTGAAAATAATATAATAATTAAATTGGGTCAGCAATAAAGATATAATCAATGCATGAATGGTCTTCCATTCTTAAATGATCTATCGCTGTCTATATTATCTATAAAAATGTCAACTCTAGTGTTATAAATAATATATGTTTGTAGAAAATGTTTTTAATTCGATGATAAATTGTTGAAAAAAACGGTGCACATGGCTTTGTCAAAGGGGAGCACCGAAAGGTGCTGTTTTTGTTGGGAAAAAAATGGTAAAATTCTAAATTTTAGTCATTGTAATTTAGGATATTAACAAATTAGTCCTTAAGTTTCAAATAAATACCCTAGCTCATTTAACTTCAAAATCATCCCAAAGCATTCTAGCTTTCTTCCAATACTAGAGAGATTTTAGAGAGTTTCTTGATAGTTGTTTTCTCCTTTTTATCTAGAGAGAATTATCATTGTTTTCTCCTTGGTAGATAGAGAGAGGTTGTAATTCATATTTTCTCATAGTGAAATTCTTCTACCGTTGCCCGTGGTTTTTACCCTAAATATTTTAGGGGTTTTCCACGTAAATTTTGTGTCTCTTTTATCTTTATTTTTATTTTCTCAAATTATCAGTTGCGATTTTGCTCTATCCGATAGCCGTCTTCCGCAACAATTGGTATCCGAGCTAGATTAGAGTGTGTAATATCTGCTTATTGTCTTTGTGGTTGCCACCAAAAGGTGGATCCTCCAACATAAGAAAGTAAGAAGGTATTACCCATTCTTTGAAGGTTCCAAAGAACTATTCACGATAGTGAAATAGTGGGAGCTATCCGTAATATAAGCTATGACAACGAAATTTGATATTGAAAAATTCAATGGGAGAAATTTCTCACTGTGGAAATTGAAGATGAAGGCCATCCTGAGGAAAGACGGGTGTCTAGCGGCTATCAATGAAAGGCCGGTGGATTTCGCAGATGACAACAAATGGAACGAGATGGACGGAAATGCTATGGCAAACTTTCATCTAGCATTAGCAGATGAAGTATTGTCAAGTATCGAGGAGAAGAAGACA